CGGTAACTCCGGGGCTCCCGCGTGTCCGAGCGGTCGGTGCCGGCCCAAATCCCCGCTCACGGCTCCGTCCCTTCTCCTCCCCAGGTGGAAAGGGGAGAACGTGGCCACGACGGAGGTGGAGGCCACGCTGGGCCTGGTGAGCTTCATCCAGGAGGTCAACGTCTACGGCGTGGCCGTGCCGGGTGAGTGCCACCAAGGACCGGGGGGTGTTTGAGGTGGGTGAGGTGGTGGTCTCAGCCACCACCAAGAAGGTTCAAAAGGGGTTTTACATCCAGAGTTGTTTTGAGCATGAAACACCCCCCATAACGGCCCAAAGATCCCCCAAAACGGTGAAAATGGGAGTTGGTTGCCCAAAGCGAGTGTCAGGTGCTGGGTTGGGTCAATGTGGCCACAAAGAGGCAAAAATAGGGAGCGTTCACCCAAAATGAGCACCCAGAATGGTTCTGGGCACAGGACGTGCCTCCACCACCATCCCAGTGGCCTCCGCGGTGCCGAAACTGGGACAAACCCACCCAAAACACGTTTGGCCACCCAACACCCCCCCCAGCAGCCCAGGGGGACTCAAGAAGTCCCCAAGGAGTTGAGGTTGCCCCAGGTGACCCCAGGCGATGTTGGCAGGGTGCGAGGGCCGCTGTGGCATGGCCGCCGTGCGCCTCAAGGACGGGGCCACCTTCGACGGTGACAAACTCTACGCCTTCACGCAGGACACGCTGCCCGCCTACGCTGCCCCCCGCTTCATCCGGATCCAGGTCAGCGGGACCCCCCACCCCGGGGGCTCCTGGGGGCTTCGGGGTGGTGGGGCTGGCCTTGGGATGGAGATGGTCCAGCACTGGAGCGCCCAGTCACGGCCAGGGGGAATCTTGGAATGGTTTGGGTTGGAGAAGACTTGAGGGCTCCTCCAGTTCCATCATGGCAGGATGGAATCATGGAATGGTTTGGGTTGGAGGGGTCTTCAGGGCTCCTCCAGCTCCATCCTACCAGGAATCATGGAATGGTTTGGGTTGGAGGGGACTTTAGAGTTCATCCAGTTCTGGCCATGGCCAGGTGGAATCATGGAAGGGTTTGGGTTGGAGAAGACTTCAGAGCTCCTCCAGTTCCATCATGGAAGGGTGGAATCATGGAATGGTTTGGGTCGGAAGAGGCATTAAGAGTTTATCCAGATCTGGCCATGGCCAGGTGGAATCATGGAAGGGTTTGGGTTGGAGGGGTCTTCAGAGCTCCTCCAGTTCCAGTCACAGCACTGGTGTCCCCCCAGTTTCCCACGGTGGCATCGGTCACCCTGTGCCAGTAACGGCGCTGGGGGTGCTCTGGTGACATTGTGGGGCAGTCACCCCCTTGTTGGTGGCACCGTTCCTGGTGTCACCATTCCTGACCCATCCATTCCCAGTGACGGTCACCCAGGGTCACCCTGTGCCAATGACGGCATCGTTCCGATGAGGGTGTTGAGGTTCCCCCCTTTGCCATGACAGTGGTGGCCACCCTGCGTCAACAGGGGTCACCTGGTGCTAGTGATGGTCACAAGGTGCCAACAACGGTCACCTGGTGCCAGTGAGGGTCACCTGGTGCCAACGAGGGTCACCCTGTGCCAATGGTGGTCACCATGTCCCAATGGTGGTCACCTGGTGCCACTGAGGGTCACCTGCTGCCAGTGGGGGTCACCCCATGCCAACAAAGGTCACCTAGTGCAAACAGGGTGGTCAGTGGTGCCAGTGGGGGTCACCTGGTGCCACTGAGAGTCACCTTGTGCCAATGAAGGTCACCTGGTGCCAACGAGGGTCACCCTGTGCCAACAGGGGTCACCTGGTGCCAGTGGGGGTTACCCCATGCCAACAAGGGTCACCTGGTGCTAACAGGGTGGTCAGTGGTGCCAATGGTGGTCACCTGGTGCCAACAAGGGTCACCTGGTGCCAATGGGGGTCACCTGGTGCCAACGAAGTTCACCTGGTTCCAATGGGGGTCACCCCATGCCAACAAGGGTCACCTGGCCCCAACAGTGGTCATCTGGTGCCAACAAGGGTCACCTGGTGCCAACAGTGGTCACCTGGTGCCAATGGGGGTCACCTGGTGCCAGTGAGGGTCACCTGGTGCTAACGGGGGTCACCTGGGGCCAGTGAAGTTCACCTGGTGCCAATGGGGGTGACCTGGTGCCAACAATGGTCACCTGGTGCCAACAGTGGTCACCTGGTGCCAATGGGGGTCACCTGGAGCCAGTGAGGGTCACCTGGTGCCAACGGGGGTCACCTGGTGCCAGTGAGGGTCACCTGGTGCTAACGGGGGTCACCTGGTGCCAGTGAAGTTCACCTGGTGCCAACGGGGGTCCCCCCACGCCCAAGTGACCCCCGCATCCCCCAGTTCCACCGGCACGGCCGCTGTCCCCTGTCCCCAGGACGCTCTGGAGATCACGGGCACCTTCAAGCAGTGCAAGAGCAACCTGGTCAAGGAGGGCTTCGACCCCAACCTCGTCCGGGACCGGCTCTTCCTGCGCGACGCCGCGCGCCGATCCTACGTGCCGCTGAGCGCCGCCGCCTTCCAGGACATCCAGGACGGGAGGCTCGCGCTGTAGCGGCCCGCGGTAATTAGCAAAGGCTAATTAGGGGCTAATCAGGCACTTTGGGCAGGTCTGGAGCACCTTGGACTTGGTGGAAATTAAACCCTTAATTCCCATTTTTGAGTCTTTTTGGGATTGTAGCGGCTCCTCCGGGGGCTCCGCAGAGGCCCCGGAGCGCTGACGGCCCCGGGGTAATTAGCAAAGACTAATTAGGGGCTAATTTGGAGCGCCTTGGACTTGGTGTCAGCTGGGCTGGCACCTCCACGCTGGAAAAGAAATCCTTAATTCCCATTTTTGGCTGCCAAAGGATTTGGGGGATTTGGGTCTTTTTTGGGGTTGTAGCACTTCAGCAGTGGACCCTGGGAGCTGATGGCCCCGGGGTAATTAGCAAAGGTTAATTAGGGGCTAATCAGGCACCTTGCAGTTGGTGTTAGCCTGGCCCAGTGCTGGAAATGAAACCCTTAATTCCCATTTTTGGCTGCCAAAGGATTTGGGGGATTTGGGTCTTTTTTGGGATTCGCAGTGGACCTGGGGAGCTGATGGCCCTGGGGTAATTAGCAAAGGTTAATTAGTGGCTAATCAGGCACTAATTGGGAGGTTTGGAGCACGTTGGAGTGAGTCAAACCTCATCCCGTTCCTGCCCCGGGCTCTGATCGGGAACAAATCCTGGGAATTCCATCCCAGCCCCTCAGCAACCCCACGAGGAAGGATTCCAATATCCCAAATAATTCCCTAAACTGGGAATTCCTTCCCAATATCCCAAATAAACCTCTAAATTGGGATATTTTTTTTTCCCAATATCCCACTGAAATCTCCCCAATTTCCCACCTAATTCCCTAAATTGGGAATTCCTTCCCAATATCCCACTGGAATCTTCCCAGTTTCCCAGCTCATTCCCTAAACTGGGAATTTTTTCCCAATTTCTCACTGGAATCTCCCCGTTCCCAGTGTGATGTCACTGCTCCTCTGAAATCCCAATCCTAATTCCATTCCAGCCCCTCCCCAAATGATTTCTCCCTAATCCTTCCCCTACGAACCCCACAAATTCCACAAATTTCCCCGTAAAAATCCCTTAATTTTTGCCTAGAAAGCCCCATAAAACCCCCACGAATTTCCCCTAGAAACCCCCATAAATTAATTTCCCTACAAACCCCACAAATTTCCCCTAAAAACCCCACAAATTTCCACACATTTCCCCAGAAACCCCCACAAACCCCACGCAGAAAATCGGAAATCCTTTATTTACAAACCTCCGCGCCGCCTCCGAGCCTCGGAGCTCCACCAGCTCCCCAGCGCCCTCCTCCTGCAGTCACTGCTCCTCTGAAATCCCAATCCTAATTCCATTCCAGCCCCTCCCCAAATGATTTCTCCCTAATCCTTCCCCTACGAACCCCACAAATTTCCCCCTAAAAATCCCTTAATTTTTGCCTAGAAAGCCCCATAAAACCCCCACGAATTTCCCCTAGAAACCCCCATAAATTAATTTCCCTACAAACCCCACAAATTTCCCCTAAAAACCCCACAAATTTCCACACATTTCCCCAGAAACCCCCACAAACCCCACGCAGAAAATCGGAAATCCTTTATTTACAAACCTCCGCGCCGCCTCCGAGCCTCGGAGCTCCACCAGCTCCCCAGCGCCCTCCTCCTGCAGCATCTCCGAGCAGCTCCCGGCGCTCCTTGGAGCTCCTCCGCGGCTCGGAGAGCCCTCTCCTCTCCCCCTGGAGCTCCACCCGCCGCAGCTCCGGGCGCTCCTTGGAGCTCCTCCGCGGCTCGGAGAGCCCTCTCCTCTCTCCCTGGAGCTCCACCACCCGCAGCTCCGGCGCTCCTTGGAGCTCCTCCGCGGCTCAGCCCGCTCTCCCCTCCCCCTGGAGCTCCACCAGCCGCACCCGCAGGGTAAAATCCTTTATTTACAAACCTCCGCGCCGCCTCCGAGCCTCGGAGCTCCTCCAACTCCTCACCGCCCTCCTCCTCCGGCAGCATCTCCGAGCAGCTCCGGCCGCTCCTTGGAGCTCCTCCGCGGCTCGGGGCCCGCTCTGCGCTCCCTCTGCAGCTCGGCCAGGCGCAGCCGCAGCCGCTGCTCGCGGCGTTTCCCGGCCTGGAGCTGCCTCTGGGCTTTGTCCAGCGCGTCCAGCGCGGCCTCGGCGCGGCGCTTCCAGAGCAGCGCGCTGCCCACCTGGTAGCTGTGCTCGCTCTGGATGTACGAGCCGGCGCGGGGCGGCAGCCGCAGCATGAACAGAGACGGGACCCCGGAGAGATCCCCAAAATACCCTGGAGAGACCCCCAAAATAGCCCCAGAGAGACCCCAAAATATCCCCAAATACCCCCAAAATAGCCCCGGAGAAACCCCTGAAATAGCCCTGGAGAGACCCTGAAATACCATGGAGAGACTCCAAAATATGCCAGGAGAGACCCCAAAATACCATAAGAGAGACCCCAAAATACCCTAAAATATGGGGGAGCCCTGAAATACTTGGGGGGGGGGTCCTGGAACACCTGGGGGGACCCCAAAGCCTGGGGGGAGACCCTGGAATACCTGAGGGGACCCCAATACCTGGAGGGAGCTCAACACCTGGGGAGACCCAAAACCGGGGTGACCCCAAAACCGGGGGGACCCCAACACCAGGGAGAGCCCAAAACTTGAGGGGGTCCTGGAATACCTGGGGGGAGGCCCAAAATCTGGGGGGGACCCCAAAACCTGTGGGAGCCCAAAAACCTGAGCGGGGTCCTGAAACACCTGGGGAGAGCCAAACACCTGGGGTGACCCCAAAACCGGGGGGGGACCCCAAAACCTGGGGGGCACCTGGAATACCTGGGGGGGTTTCCCTCACCTGCAGCCCCCCAAACTCACCTGCAGCCCCCCAGGATTCACCTGGAGGCTCCAGGCTCACCTGCAGGTCCCAGACTCACCTGTAGCCCCCCAAATCCCACCTGTATCCCCAGACTGTTCGAAGTGCTGCGAGCAGAAGTAGATGTATTTGGAGGAGGGGTCCCAGCGCCCCCCCCCGGCCGGGTCCCGCCGCCGGCTGTTCTCCAGCCACTGCTCCCGACCCCAAACGTCCCGCCGCGGCAGCCTGGGGACACCGGTGGGGACATCAACGGGGACATCAACGGGGACACTGGGGGGACATGGGGACACTGGGGACATTAACGGGGACACGGGGACATTGTATGGGAACATTGTATGGGGACACTGATGGGGACATGGGGGACTGAGCCCGCCGGGGGTCGTCCCGCCGCGGCAGCCTGGGGACACCGGTGGGGACATCAACGGGGACATCAACGGGGACACTGGGGGGACATGGGGACACTGGGGACATTAACGGGGACATTAACGGGGACACTGAGGGGACAGGGGGACACTGTATGGGAACACCAGCCACTGCGCCCACCAGGGGCTGTCCCGCCGCGGCAGCCTGGGGACACCGGTGGGGACATTGGGGACGTCAGTGGGGACATGGGGACACTGAGGGGACACTCGGACACTGGGGACATTGTATGGGGACAGCAATGGGGACATGGGGACACTGAGGGGACACTGGGGACTGTGCCCGCCAGGATCGTCCCACCGCAGCACCTGGGGACACAGGGGACATCGATGGGGACACTGGGGACACTGAGGGGACACTGAGGGGACACTGGGGACACAGGGGACATCGATGGGGACACTGGGGACACTGAGGGGACACTGGGGACACAGGGGACATCGATGGGGACACTGGGGACACTGAGGGGACACTGAGGGGACACTGAGGGGACATTGTATTGGGACACTGGGGACACTGGGGACTGCACCCGCCGGGGCTGTCCCTGCACAGCAGCCTGGGGACATGGGGACACGACACTGGGGACACTGGGGACACTGAGGGGACACTGGGGACACGACACTGGGGACACTGTATGGGGACATCGGGGACATTGGGGACATTGGGGACATTGTGGTCTGGGACACTGGGGACATGGGGACGGGGACAGGAACATGGGGGACACAAGGACATGGGGATACAGAGGGACAGGGACAGGGCACGGGGACATCAGGGACATGGGGACAGGGACAAGGGGCATGGGGACATCAGGGACATGGGGACAGGGACACGGGGCATGGGGACATTGGGGACATGGGGACAGGGACACAGGGCACGGGGACATCAGGGACATGGGGACAGGGACAAGGGGCACGGGGACATTGGGGACAGGAGCGGGGCACAAGGACACGGGGACATGGGCAGACATGGGGAACAACAGGGACACGGGCACACAGGGCATGAGGGGACACGGGGACATGGGGACACACATGGCATGAGGGGACACGGGAGGGACACAGGGGGTCACAGGGTCACGGGGGACACACATGGCATGAGGGGACACAAGAGAGCAGGGACATGGGGGGACACGGGATGGGGACACAGGTCACACAGGTGACACACACAGGTGACACACAGGTGACACACAAAGGTGACACACACAGGTGACACACACAGGTGACACAGGTGACACACAGGTGACACACAGGTGACACACAGGTGACACAGGTGACACAGCTGAGCCGCAGTCCCCGCCCACACCCTCAAATTCTGCAGGGCTGAACCTTCCTCCCCCCGCGCACCTGGGAATGGAACGGTCCAGCCGGGCCCCTTACAGGGGACAGGGCCGAACCTTCCTCAAACGGGGGGGGACAGACACACCTGGGACAGCCCATTGATGGGGGGGGGTGACACCTGGGACAGCCCATTCCTGAGGGAGGGGGTGACACCTGGGACAGCCCATTGATGAGTGAGGGGGGTGACACCTGGGACAGCCCATTCCTGAGTGAGGGGGGTGACACCTGGGACAGCCCATTCCTGAGTGAGGGGGGTGACACCTGGGACAGCCCATTCCTGAGTGAGGGGGGTGACACCTGGGACAGCCCATTCCTGAGTGAGGGGGGGGTGACACCTGGGACAGCCCATTCCTGAGTGAGGGGGGGGTGACACCTGGGACAGCCCATTCCTGAGTGAGGGGGGGGTGACACCTGGGACAGCCCATTCCTGAGTGAGGGGGGTGACACCTGGGACAGCCCATTCCTGAGTGAGGGGGGTGACACCTGGGACAGCCCATTCCTGAGTGAGGGGGGGGTGACACCTGGGACAGCCCATTCCTGAGTGAGGGGGGGGTGACACCTGGGACAGCCCATTCCTGAGTGAGGGGGGGGTGACACCTGGGACAGCCCATTCCTGAGTGAGGGGGGTGACACCTGGGACAGCCCATTCCTGAGTGAGGGGGGTGACACCTGGGACAGCCCATTCCTGAGTGAGGGGGGGGTGACACCTGGGACAGCCCATTCCTGAGTGAGGGGGGGGTGACACCTGGGACAGCCCATTCCTGAGTGAGGGGGGGGTGACACCTGGGACAGCCCATTCCTGAGTGAGGGGGGTGACACCTGGGACAGCCCATTCCTGAGTGAGGGGGGTGACACCTGGGACAGCCCATTCCTGAGTGAGGGGGGGGTGACACCTGGGACAGCCCATTCCTGAGTGAGGGGGGGGTGACACCTGGGACAGCCCATTCCTGAGTGAGGGGGGGGTGACACCTGGGACAGCCCATTCCTGAGTGAGGGGGGTGACACCTGATGGGGACATTGGGGACATGGGGACAGGGACACAGGGCACGGGGACATCAGGGACATGGGGACAGGGACAAGGGGCACGGGGACATTGGGGACAGGAGCGGGGCACAAGGACACGGGGACATGGGCAGACATGGGGAACAACAGGGACACGGGCACACAGGGCATGAGGGGACACGGGGACATGGGGACACACATGGCATGAGGGGACACGGGAGGGACACAGGGGGTCACAGGGTCACGGGGGACACACATGGCATGAGGGGACACAAGAGAGCAGGGACATGGGGGGACACGGGATGGGGACACAGGTCACACAGGTGACACACACAGGTGACACACAGGTGACACACAAAGGTGACACACACAGGTGACACACACAGGTGACACAGGTGACACACAGGTGACACACAGGTGACACACAGGTGACACAGGTGACACAGCTGAGCCGCAGTCCCCGCCCACACCCTCAAATTCTGCAGGGCTGAACCTTCCTCCCCCCGCGCACCTGGGAATGGAACGGTCCAGCCGGGCCCCTTACAGGACCCCCTCACGCCGGGCCTGCTCCGCTCCGCCCCGCCCCACCGCCTGACATCCCCCCACAACGGCCGGACCCGCCCCTCCGCGTCCCCTCCCGTCCCGTTCCGCCGCTTTTTCCCCGTTTTTGCCCGTTTTTCCCCCGTTTTTTCCCCTTTCCCGGCCCCACCTCGGCGCTCCCATCCCGCCGCCGCCGCGGCCTCCCCGGAAGTCTCGCGAGAACTCCCGCAGTCCGCGAGAACGGCGCTCGCCCCCTTGATCCCGCGCCTCATTTGCATCCCGCGCTGTGATTGGTCAAATGAGCCGCGCCCCCGCCTCATTAGCTATGCAAGCCCCGCCCCTCGCAGCGGGCCTTCCTCGCCCCCTCCCGACGGCTTTTGGGGGAATTTTGGGGGAATTTGGGGGGTTTTGGGGGATTTCACCCCCCAAATTGGGATCAAAAGGGTTTTTTTCCAGCCCCCGAGCAGATTGAGGGGGGTTTGGAGAGACCCTGGGGGGTTCTTGGGGGGTTTCAGCCCCCCCCAGTGATGGTCCAGACAGTTTTGGGGTGCCCCAGAGGATTTTGGGGTGTTCGGTGGTGATTTTGGGGTGTCCCGGGTGATTTTGGGGTGTCCCTGTGTGATTTTGGGGTGTCTCAGGGTGACTTTGGGGTGCCACAGCGGATTTTGGGGTGTTCGGGGGTGATTTTGGGGTGTCCCGGGTGATTTTGGGCTGCTCTGGGGGGTTTTTAGGGTTTACCCCCCCAGTTGGTTTTGGGGTCCCCCCCGTTTTGGGGTCTCTGAGCCTTTCCGGGATATTTGAACCCCCCCAAACCCAGCACGGGCCCCCCAAAAGGGGCTGGGGGTGGCCCCAAACCCCCCCCACCCCAAATCCCTTTTCGGGGCGCGGCCCCCCCGGCTCTGGGGTCCCCCCGTGTCCCCCTCGGCAGCGGGACCCTCTCGAGGCGCTTTAATGGCTTTGGGGACCCCCGCCCCAAATCCCCACAGGCTGTGGGGGGGTCGCGGGCGGGTTTTGGGGTCGGGGGGG